TTTTAAATGCCAAAAATAAAAATAAAAAAAAATAAAATTTGGGTAATGAACTTGCATTGTTCTAAAATCTCAAGGATAGTTTCCATCTATTAAGATAACATTGGGTAAAATAAAAGGGTATTCTTATAAGTACATGGCTACATTAAAAGTTCCAACACATAGAAATTCAACTTACAAACTCATAATAATGCTACATGACTTTCAGTGTCTTTCATTTCAGGGACATAAAGAGAGAACATGGGTACAGAGAATGCAACAGTGCTGACACAGTTTGTTCTCACAGGACTCACTCATCTGCCACAGTGGAAAATCCCCCTCTTCCTGCTGTTCCTGGTGATCTATCTCATTACCGTTGTTGGGAACCTTGGTCTCATCACTCTCATCTGGAACGACCCTGACCTTCACATCCCCATGTATTTATTTCTAGGGAGTTTAGCCTTTGTGGATACATGGTTGTCATCCACCGTGACACCAAAGATGCTATTCGACTTTTTTGCCAAGAGTAAACTGATCTCTCTCTCAGAATGCATGATACAGTTTTTTTCATTTGGAATCAGTGCAACCACAGAATGTTTTCTCTTGGCAGCAATGGCCTATGATCGCTACATAGCTATATGCAAACCTTTATACTATCCAGTGATCATGACAAACAGACTCTGTGTACGTCTGCTAACACTGTCCTTTGTGGGTGGGTTTATTCATGTTTTGCTTCATGAAGGTTTTTTATTCAGACTAACCTTCTGTAATTCCAACATAATACATCACTTTTACTGTGATGTTATGCCACTACTAAAGATTTCCTGTACTGACCCTTCTCTCAATTACCTAATGCTTTTTATTTTCTCTGGCTCAATTCAGGTATTTAGCATTTTGACTATTCTTGTCTCGTATACACTTGTTTTGTTTTTAATCTTAAAGCAGAAATCTCTCAAAGGCATAAAGAAAGCCTTCTCCACATGTGGAGCCCATCTCTTGTCTGTGTCTTTATACTATGGCTCTTTGCTTTTTATGTATGTGCGCCCTGCATCTTCACAAGTAGATGATCAAGATATGATGGACTCTATATTTTACACTGTTGTAATTCCTGTGCTAAATCCAATTATCTACAGTTTAAGAAATAATCAAGTAAAAAATTCACTAGTGAAATTCTTAAAGAGAAAAGCTTAGGTCTCATTTTATCTTTGGTTGTATTCTTATTAAAACACCATAAAATCATAAAGTCTTCATGTATCTAAATTTTGTTTTTCTTTCTAAAATATTTGGCAGTTATCTGTCCTAGAATGATTTTTTGCTGGTTTTTATGTATATGAATGTTTGGGATATATGTGCATGGTGTATGCACACTTATGTGCATAGTTACAGTTAACCATGTACACATATGGGAAGGCCAAAGGAGTTCACCTGACATCCTGCTTATAGCCTTACTTTTTTGAAAGAGATCTTTTCCTATAGATAAGTTTACATTCTGCTAAACCCAACATTTATTTCAACATCTCTCATCACTGATTACAGGCATATGTACAGCCATGATCCTCTCAACACTGAAATATGCAGCTCTTTTGTTTTCCCTGACATTTGTATGCTATGTTGTATGTGATGTAAACACAGTTAATCATTTTGTGCAGGTAGAGCTCTTACCTACTGAGCACATTCCTGTTTCCCAGAGCTAGCATTTATAATAGATTTGGATATATACCCATTTCCATAAAAATATATGAAATCAATTTTAAATCATGTAAAGAATTTTAATAAAATGTTCTAGTAAAATAAAATAAAGTATAAATTAAATTTAAACATTTTAATAAGAGATTGGTATTTTATTCACCATGACATCATAAATACATTAGCTGGCATAGTAGTTTAATTCCTGTGTAAGGGACACAAATACAATGCATTTATACCATGATGACTCATATCCCACTTATATGTTTCAGTAAGAAGACACAATTTTCAGAATATTGCTAGATATTTGAATATATCTTTCATTGAATTCTGTTGGGGATTCTCAGTCAGCCCTCAATGTCAGTCACATTCAGATACTCCAGTTTGATCACATGCTCCATCAGGCCCAGCCCAGCTAGCCTTGGTGAGCTCCTATTAGATCAGTCCCATTGTCTGAGTAGGTGGACACACCCCTCATAGTCCTGACTTCCTTGTTCATATTCTCCCTCCTCTTGCTCCTCATTTGGACCTTGGGAGCTCAGTCCAGTGCTCCAGTGTGGGTCTCTGTTTCTATCTCCATCCATTGCCGGACGAAGGTTCTACAGTGATATCCAAGATATTCATCAGTGTGACTATAGGATAAGGCCCGTTCAGGCACCCTCTCCTCTGCTGCCCATGGAACTAGTTGGGGAAATCCCCTTGGACACCTGGGAACCCTTCTAGAGCCAGGACTCTAGCCAACCCTAAAATGGCTCCCTTGGTTAGGATAACTTCTTCCCTGCTCCCACATCCACCTTTCCTCCATCTCAATTATCCCATTCCCCCAAACTCTCCCCAATTCTCCCCTTCTCCCTTTTCTCTCCCCATTTTCCCTTCCTTCCAATCCACCCCCACCCCCCTGCTCCACTGAGTTTTGATTGTACTGCATGGATTGGCCTTGTGGGAGCCTAGTTTGTTTGGATGCTCACCTTTCTAGACCTGGAGGGAAGGGGGAGGAACTTAGACTTCTCACAAGACAGGAAACCCTGACTGCTATTAGGACTGAAGAGGGAGGGGGAGAGAGAGTAGAGAGAGTGGGAGGGTATTGGGAGGAGGGGAGGAGGTGGAAATTTTTAATAAATAAAAAGAATGGTCACCTAATAAAAAAATTCTGTTGGGGAATGGTGACTTTCATTTCTCATACCAATTCCACCTGCAGTTCCCACAGAGAAGGAAAAAGATACTGGAGTATAGGAGTGATTTTTATGACAATGGGTAGACTGTCAAATGTTGCTCAGTGCTCAGAGTGCTGTACACTTTAAATCACTATTTAGGCTGCCTCTGAGACTCTCTCTGGCTCTCTGTATTTTACTACCATTCAGAAGCTTCACTAAATAAAGAAGCTAACAGTTTTCATGAAAGAATTAGGTTGGGGTGTTTTATTGAGGAAATGTAGTTATAAGATTAAGGAAAGGTCTCAATAGCCTAAATTTTATAACAGTGAAGGGATTTAGGTTAAAATTCAATTATCTAAGAGTTACTAGAGTATATAGATGAGGAAAACATGCTTTAAGTGTACATTACCTAACATCAAACAGTTACAAGATATTGTGAATGTTCCTACTACCTGCTGACTTTTTGGAATAGTTGGGAAACAGAGCAAAAAAAATGAGCTTTACAACTTGATCACAGAAATGGAAATTGGGGATAGTGCTTAAGGAGGGGAATGGAGGTAAACACATAAAAATGTAGAAAGAAGGAAAAGGGGAATTAAAAAATATAAGTGATCTGACAGACGGAATAGAAAAGGGGGCTACCTGAACTGGCGTTGGCCCATAACCATACTGATGAATATTTTGCATATCACCATAGAACCTTCATCTGGCAATGGATGGAAATAGAGACAGAGACCCACATTGGAACCCTGGACTTAACTCCCTAGGTCCAAATGAGAAGCAGAAGGAGGGAGAATGTAAGCAAGGAAGGCAGGACAGCGAGGGATGTGTTCACCCACTGATACAAGGGGACTGATCTAATGAGAGTTCACCAAGGCCAGCTGGACTGGGAATGAATGAGGACGTGATCAAACCGGATTCTCTGAATGTGGCCAGATTCTCTGAATGTGGCTGGCATGGGGACTGTCTGAGAAGCCATTGATAATGGCACTGGGACTTGTTTCCTCTGCATGTTCTGGATTTTTGGGATCCTAGTTAGTTTGGATGCTCACCTTCCTAGACCTGGAGGGAGAGGGGAGGAACTTGAACTTCCCACAGGGCAGGAAACACTGATTGCTCTTAGGGCTGGAGAGGGAGGAGGAGAGGGAGTTGGGGGAATGGGAGGGTATGGGGAGGAGGGGCAGAAGTGGAAACTTTTATAAATTAATAAAAAATAAAAAAGGGAAAAAAGAAAAGGGGGCTACTTAGAGATGAGAGAGGGAGAGGGAATTGGGTAAAATAAATAGCAATACAGATACCTTAAAAATTCACAGAGAATCATATAGTACTACCTATTTACCAAAAAGACCTATAATATTCTCTCTCTCTCTCTCTCTCTCTCTCTCTCTCTCTCTCTATCTCTATCTCTATCTCTTTAAGACACACATACACACACACACACACACACACACACACAATGTATAATGAACTTTCTCATCATTTGAGTGATGATTCTCCTTCTAAGAGCCAAAAGGAGCCTAACAAAAATCCCAAAGTCAGACATGAGAACTTCTTTACAGAGATTTTGGTCATAGCTAAAAGACTCCCAAAATATGTAGCATATTTCTATTATCCTTGATGAACCCTGAGAGATACTAGGTAAGTCAGTCATGCTTTAGATACCATATGCTTCAGAAACATGAGTCAAGTACCTGAGATGAAAATGATCTGAATGCCTTTTGCCTAAAGAATAACTTTCAAGGTACCAGAAGATGCCATTAAAGCTTTCAAAGAAGAGGAATAAGAAACAGTTCTACTTAGCTCTGATGACTATGAACCACATCAACAACCAGCATTGCATGATCATGCTAAGGGTGCAGTAATGGAACACACAATTTGGTGGTTACAAATAGCTCTGTAGTTGGGCTCAAGAAGAAGACAATCTAGTTTACTCAGTGCTAGGAAAGTTGCAGTTATTGGAGTATAAGCTACAACCACCAATTTACTAAACCAGCACAGCCGTTAACAATAATAAATAAACATTTGTCTTTATGCACATAAATATGTGTAGTTTTCACACATTATCAAGGAAACTTCTTTCTCTTTAATAGACAAAGATCACTACAGAAAACAACCAACCAAAATGCAGAGCTTTAGAGCCTAGTACCAATGGATATATCTACAAAACACTTCAATATGTAAGGCTTATGATACATTTCGGAAGATGGCATGGGAAGACTGCAAGAGCCAGAAAAACAGGGCTTTTGTTGGTTGTGTTTCCAAGTCAAACCAGAAACTATACCTATAAAGACTCACCAACAGGACCGACCAAAATGAGTTGAACAAGGATGACACCAATCAATAAACATATCAGAATGAATGGGAAAAGACCATGAGGCCTCAATCTCACACAAAGAACTATAGATATATGCATAAAGCTGGGACGAGGAGAGGTGTTCTTTCTCATGCTCATTCAGTATTAATGGTCGTTCCTGAAACCATATATACGAGTAATGTTATATAGACAACTGAAGTTATATTGGGAGATCACATGCACATACAAATACATGTATGTATGTAGTAATTATTGATGAAAAAGAGGCCATAAATTTGAAGGACAAGGAAGGGCCTGTGGGAGAATTATAGAAATGGAAGGAAGAAAATTATTTAAATCACAATCTCAAAAATAAAAGAACTTGAGCTTTATGCTTGGGATGACCTTGATCACAGGCTATGGCTTGCAAAGCCAGGTTGATAGAAAATAATATGTTTATAATAATATACAGAGATATACTTACATCACAAATAAGCTATAAATTTGCATTATTTATATACTTTCATATGTGCACATATTGTAGTAGTAATGATAATCTAGTCTTACCAATAAAAGCCTTCCCTGGCTAAAAAGATGGCCAGTTCACACTCTGTATCTTTAATTGCTAAGAATCCTCACTAGGATCACCCTCTTAGAGTTCCGGAAGTTTTCACTGCACTAGGTTTCCACCCCTCAATTCTTCCCAATACCAGTGATCTCTCTGTGTACTCTTGGCGTCACCTCCACATGATTCCTCACACTCCAGTCCTCACATTCCCCCTGTTCACCTACAAAATTTATTCTATTTCTCCTTCCAGGGTAGGTTCATATATTCTTTCTAAGTTTTCCTCTTTAACTAACTTCTCTGGGTCTGTGAATTTTAGCTTGACTTATAGGAGTATGTGTTCAATTTTGGAAAAAATTCCATGAGGTGTTGAGAAGGTATATTCTTTTGTGTTTGTGTGGAATGTTTTGAAAATATCTCTTAGGATGATTTGGTTTAGAGCATCAGTTTTTTCCAGCATTTCTATGCTTGGTTTTGTCTGAATGACCTATGCATTGGTAAGAGTGGAATATTGAAGCCTCACACGTATGGTGTGTGAGGGTAAATATGTGTTTTAAGTTTTTTATAAAAGTAGGTGCCCTTGTGCTTGAAACAAAGATGTTAAGAACTGAAATGTCATCTTGGTGAATTTTTGCATTGATGATTATGAAGTGTTCTTCCCCATTTCTTTTGAATAAATTTTGATTTGTAGACTATGTTATTCGATATTATAATGGATCCATCAGCTTGATTGCAATATTTTTTCCAACCTTTTAACATGAGGTAATGTCTAACCTTGATATTGCGGTGTGATTCTTATATGCAGCAGAGTGATGGATTCTGTTTTAGCATCCGTTCTTTTCATCTTTGTCTTTTTGTTGTAAAGTAGAGAAAAGAGTAACTTGACAGTCAAAGATAGCTCTTGAAGAAGGCAGGTTTGAAGATCACCTATCAGAAGCTAAGCTCATGGTTGCTGAGATGACTATAGGCAGGGTGGAATTGGAGGGTATGGAGAGTTGTATAGGAAAGGGAAGCATAATAGAATAAATTTATTCTAAAAGTTGAGAAAGGATAATAAGAATCTGTTTGACTATGTGGATTGTATGTAATTTTCACATGAAAATTATTTCTCATTGAGTAAGTAAAGATTTGTATATTTAAAGAGAAAAAAGAAAAGGAAGGAGGAAAGAGGAAAGGAGAGTGAAAGAAAGGAATGAAGGAGCAGAGGAGAACGAAAAAGAAAAAAAGGAGAAGATGCAGGAGAATCAAAGTTAAGGAAAGAGAAGCAGAAAGAAGAGGAGAGGAGAGGAGAGGAGAGGAGAGGAGAGGAGAGGAGAAGAGGGGTTACAGGAACAGGAGACTAGGAAAAGGGAGGCCAGGAAAGTAAAGAGAAAGGAGAGGAAAGAGAAGAGAAAGAAAGAGAGGGGGAAAGAGGAAGAAGAGAAAGGGAGGGAAAAGAAGAAAGAAGATAGAAACAGGAGGGTGCAGATGGAGGTGAGTGAGGTTAGAGAAGAGACATGAAAAGAGGGAATTAGGAGAGGAAAAGGAAGGAGGAGAGGGAGGGGGAAAAGAGGCTGGGAGAGAAGAGAGAAGAGATGTGAGGAAGGGGCAAGGGGAGCGAGGAATAGATGAGATGAGAGGGAAGGGAGGGGAGATAAGAGACAGGAGAAAGGGAAGAAAGGACAGGATAAAAGTAAGAGTAAGAAAAGGAGGAGGAAGAAAGAATTTATCAAGAAACATAAAAATCTTAAAAATAATCAGGCGGTGGTGGTGCATACCTTTAATCCCAGCACATAGGAGGCAGAGGCAGGCAGATCTCTGTAAGTTTGAGGCATGTCTAGTCTACGTTAGTTAGTTCCCAAATAGGCTCTAAAGTTACAGAGAGATCTCAAAAAGAATCAAAAATAATAGGTGAAATATCAAAAAATTACTCTGGAATTCAATGAAACATAGCATAAGATAAATTCCTGACCATCTTCACAGAGATGAGCACCATAATAAAGAGCAATTGCAGAAGGAAAACATGGTTTGCAACTTTACAAGACTATCTTCTAAACAGTGTTCTACTGCATCTGTGTTGTCCCAGTGCTCAGCCATTGATCCGTTTCCACTGATAATTCATTTCCTCAAAGACAGACTGGAATGTGCATTTGGAATGTGCATTTTATTCCTGATGTAATTTAATCACCAAGTCCCTTTTAAAATATTTTTGAGATTATAATATTATTGTATTATTTCCCCTTTCCTTTCTTTAATCCAAACTCTGCCACATAGCACACAGGACTATCTTTCAATTTCAGATCTTCTTTTGTAATTATAGTTGTCGCATTATTTTCTATCTATCTACAAATCTATCTGTCTATCTATCTATCTATCTATCTATCTATCTATCTATCTATCTATCATTATCATTGTCTTTCTACTATCAATCTATCATTTATCTGTCATCTATTTATCTACATATCTATCTGTCTATCTTCCTATCTATCTATCAATCAATCTATATATAATCTAACTATCAATCTATCAACTCTATCCATCTACCTATCTTCTATTCATCTATCACCATCAATTGATTGATCTATTGATTGACTTATCATCCAACTCTATGTATATGTGTTAAAAACTTTGACTATACATATTCTCAAGTATATAATATAAACTGTTTAGTCTGTTTATACATAGATACATACATATGCATACACACATATGTGTGTGTAAGTGTATACATATGTTTTTTCAGGACTGACCATCTGGTACTGAATAACAAACTGGTGTCATCTTCTGTGGAGACTATCTCTCCTGTTCTAAGCATTACATAGTTGCCTGTAGGGTTCAAACATTTAAATATAATCTCCGTTTTCTCAGCTTTCAATCATATAGAGAAATGGCAATATTGATTCAAACTTTTCAATGCTCAAATAGTCATTAAAAGACAAATATCAAAAGCTTAGTACAATTTGTAGTTCATTTTGTGTTATTCTTTTCCTTTTTTGGTAAATAAGTATCTCTATTCAGATATTTAGAGTTTTTCATTCATTTTCTGCTCTATCAGACTTGAATGATATGTGTTTTTAAAAATATGAATACATAAATTATTTTCATTAGAGTTGGTGAAGATGTTGTTATTCCTAACAACCAACAAACAGCAATAATACCATGGAAGAGAAAAAACTGATTTAGTGGATACATTTGGGAGTTTCAGTGCCATAGATAATAGACTAATAATCAAATAAAGTAAAAATCAAAGCACATAGTAATTTCACTGTATTAAAATCATTTTGAAGGATAGGCTGACAAGCATTACTTACCAGTATTGATATGGTATGATACTATGGTTCAGAAATTCTGAAAGGAAAAATGACTAATGTTCAATATGAAAATATTCTTGCTAGAAAATTTTTGGATAAGTACATGCTGAAATATAATCTCATGAAAGAATAAATGAAATATTGAAACTCAAGCTAAGTCATAAAGATTATTTTCCTTTGATGGAATATCTTATTATAAACAAAGGTTGTAATTTGCTGGAAAATTTAAATTCTGAAATTAAAAAACTTGCTAATGATATTAAATGGATGCAACAATTAGCAATAGATACATTTCTAAAATTCATTAGATGTATTTTAAATTGTAGCTAGATACAATCTAATGCTTCAACAGTTTTTTTAATTATTCCTGAAAATTTCAAATATATTTTAACAGAATTTATTTATTATGAACTGATTGCATTCAAATGTTCTTAGACTTCCATAAATTAATAATTTTCTTTTTACATGGTCGATATTTTCTCATTGTGTGTGAGTTTAGAAAATGGTATGTTCATGTTTAAATTGTTTGTCCAATAAATATGATCCTTGTTGTCTAATGTTACAGAATCATCTCTTCTTCATGATTTTTTTCATCACATTTATTACTTCCTTATTTCTCAGACTGTAAATGAAAGGGTTCAATAAAGGAATTACTAGGGTATAGAAAATAGCTACGGGTATATCTTTATCTCCATCAATGACTGCTTGCGGTTGTGCATACAGGAAGAGAAGAGAACCATAAAATATGGATACAGACAGAAAGTGGGACACACACGTTGATAAGGCTTTCCCTCTACCCTCATTAGACTTCATTTTGAATATAGTGAAAAGTATATAAAAATAGGACACAAGAACTATAGTAATAGTACTCGCTAAAATTGACCCTGCAAAGCTAAATAATGTTAGTTCATTGATATGTGGATCAGTACAGGAGATTCTATATAATGGAAGGATATCACAAAAGAAATGCTTGATTACATGTGACCTACAGAAAGTTAACCTTAATAAAAGCCCCACTTCAACCATAGGATGCACATTTCCTATTATGTAGGATCCTATGGTCATCTGAAGGCATAGTTTCTTGGACATCATGGTGTGGTACTGCAGCGGGTTGCATATGGCCACATAGCGATCATAGGCCATTGCTGCCAGAAGAAAGCTGTCTGTAGTTTCAGCAACACAAAGAAAATAGAACTGTGCCATGCATTCATAGAGAGACATCTTTCTGTCCTCAGAAAAGAAGTTCTGTAGCATCTTGGGAGTAGCGGCACAGGAGCACAGGGAATCCATGAGAGCCAGGTTTCCCAGAAAGATGTACATGGGTGTGTGAAGACGGCGTTCCATGTAGATCAAGGCCACCAGTCCGATATTTCCCACCATGGTGACCAGATAGATGGCTAAGAAAACCAGGAATAGAAGGATCTTCAGGTTTGGGTGATCTGAGAATCCCACCAGGATGAATTCATTTGTCACAGAGTAGTTCTCAGCCATCTCACCTTGCTTGTTGATACTATAATTACAAAGATATACAATTCTAATGGCAAGAATAAAATTTACTAATTTTGCCTTTTTTTTAAGAGGGAAATTTCTTCTTTGTGCACTGCAATTGTCTCTGGAATGCATACAATTGTGCTTTTGAAAGCATTTATTACCATACACTGTTAGCACCGATGATTTCTAAATTTAACTCACCTTTTACAGGAATACTGTAATGTGATTCATTTCTGGAGTGACATCCTCGCAGAAGGCTTTGTTCACATATTGAAAATAGTACATGTAGCAGTCTGCAGAGGGATCTTGTGCATACAGAATCTCTCACATCTTAGTGTCAGAGGTCTCAATGAGGTTCCCATTCTGAGCATGAGCTAGAAAACTGAGCTCTGCTCAAGATGAAAGCCAGGTCACCCTTGCACCCCACATCCAAGGTAGGGAGTGTGTGAGAGTGTTTCCACCCACATGCACAGCCTGGATAAAATGCCTGCAAATAATTCTCAAAGTCTTGAGAGGCATAAAAATTGATGTATATGAAAATATTTCACAAAAGTTTTGCAGCAAGCTAGTCTTGCTCTGTGCTTTGGGAACAGATCTTCTTCACAGATTTATGACTTCTCAAAGCACCTGGAACATCAGGGTGGGAAACCAGACTAGAGCAGAGCCAAGGAAAAGTATTACACTTCTGCTCTAGCAGGAGGTCTCCTGAAACTTCATTCATGCTATAGAAATGTGAATGGTGAATTTATTTTTTAAAAATAATAACAAGGATACATTTTTAAAAAATTAAAAGTGGAAAAGAAACAGAAAGCAACATCTCTCTCTCTCTCTCTCTCTCTCTCTCTCTCTCTCTCTGTGTGTGTGTGTGTGTGTGTGTGTGTGTGTGTGTGTGAGTGAAATGATTGTGTTTTTCTTCTGGGGTTGTTTATTTTTATCTGTTTGGCTTTGCTGGTTGCTTTGTATAGAGATTTGAGATGATACTCAACTCTAATCAAAGGTAAGTTTCTGTAGTGGGGCCAGAAATAACTAACTACACACCTGCCAAAACCCCAACCCTGATTTAGCACTGTGGAAAGTTCTGACCTGATGACAAGGCAGGAAGCTTAGCATTATATGAATGTGCTACAAATCAGGACCCTTGCAAGCATCAGATGTGTTTGGCATTAGGGTACCTGGAAGTCAGCAAGGCTTAGCAGCCTGAGATACAGGATAATAAAGTTTTTATTCTGTGATAGCAAGAGTAGGTGGCTTCGTTCTCCTTTAGTGGGGAGGACTAATTCTTACTCGTCATCTTCAGTGGCTAAAGCTCAGGAGACAGGTATAAAACTACACTTGTCCCAACACTTTTGCCCATTTCCTAGCCATGTTTGTGCTACCTAAGTAAGTTTGCCTCTTGCAGTGGTCAGACATGGAGGAGTATTCAAAGGAGGTTGTAGCTGTGAGGCAATATATCCTGAATGTAGCGCTTTGTGGCTTAGATTTTTTTTTAAATAGCAAACAACAAAGGAAATAAACTTGAAACTTATTTGTCATCAAAAAAAAGAAAAAATGAAAATATTAAAAATAATTAATTTTTCTGATTTTCTATTTCCTTAGAAAGTTACACTCTCTATGGCTTGCCAAAGCATGTTAGAGTCTCACGAAGATGAAATAATTTCTTATATTTTGAGACTTTAAAAATAAAAAGCTTAAATTCTCAAATTTTCAATGCTAATATTATTTTGCTTTATAATGCTACTAGTTCTCAATACTTACTGATTCTTTGGCACAAACAGATATCTGTCAGACTGACAGATAAAATTATATAATTCTATGGCCAAAATGACTTTGTTTTTCTAATAATCAAAACACTGAAAGAAGGCACTAGAAATTTACTTTGTTCAAGAATATTTTATCTGGCTTGTCTGAGTCATTACTGGAAGCTGCTTTAACACATGCCTGAATTTTTTAAGTGATTCATTAGTGACATTACCTGCATATTTTGGGGTTCTATCTTATAATCATAATGTGAGGTGGGTTACAGTATTGTATGTCAACTTGGTTCCACATATCTTAAATTTTGGGAAAAGCGACACAGTCAAGAGAAGAGTCAATATTTAGGAGAAATTAACATTTCCTTAATAATTAAAAAATCGAACTTTTTTATTAAGTATTTTTTTAATTAAGGTAAAAACTTAAAATGTTTCTCTTACCTGAATTGCTGAGGAGCACTTTCTGAAAGTGTGTATTTGTCTTATAGTCAATATCTCAGAAGTTAAGATTACCTATGGACCTTGATTTCACAATAATAAAGGTGGAAGAAGCGAAGATCACAGGCTACCCACAGGTAATAGTAATTATGTACCTTTGACTGGAAACTTAAATCGTCTGTCAAATCCTGAGAGGACTTCCCAGCATTGCATCATTTCTGGAGAGAATGTCAGTCCTAACAAATATGAACTATTTGAAACTAATTAAAACTTCCCAATGAAAACCTGGTCTTAAGAAAAGTAAGCTTAAAGATTACCTTGCTAGTTTGAGTGTAGCTGACCTAACTCTTAAAATTCTCCTCCACTTTTGTTCATACAATCTAAAACAGATAGAAAGTAGTCTGAAGTGACTTAGATACTATAATGGAGGCTGTAAAAACAATATGAGTTATGAGAATAATTAGCACTGGACAGGATAGATGGCGCAGCATCCTCATCAGTGTGAAAATTTGAGTTGTCTGAGTTCAAATTTCCAGAACCCACATTAATAAGGTGGGTATGCTCTCATGCACTTGTAATCCTAGTATTTGGGTGAGGTTTGTGCTACAAACCACAACTTTATACAGTAATTGCTCAGTCATCTTTTCACAAGTGACTTATCAGAACCAAGGAATCTGGTAAAGGCTAAATCAAAAGGCAAGGATTTTTGGTGTTATTGCTTTGTGAATAAAGTGGCTGCCCTTTGCTGCAGATTTCTTGCTGTAGCTGAACTCCCTTTCTGTTAAATATTTAAGGATTAATCTCCTAGTTCAGAACAATTTCCCACTGCCAGGCCTTGTTCCTCTCTCCTAGGTATGTGTGGAGATTTGGAGACTGTGATATGAAATGCAGGGATCGTGCCACCCGAGCCAGGAGAAGTGTTGAGTACTGCCTTGGAATCTAAGAGAAGTTCCATGGAATGCTATGGGACATTTCAGACTGACAAGTTCTCTGGCCTTTACTTCTAAGTGCAAGTGTCACATACCTTGTTGTTTGCAGAAGTGGCTGCCCTGAGGCCGCAGTCTCAGCTAGAAGCAGCTGTTCTGCTCACTGAAGGAAGTCTTAGAATAGATAGGGACAGTGAGATATGTCTCTGGAGACCCTTGTTTAAAATAGGCTAGGATGTCTTGCAAGCCCCCAGACCACCTTTGACTACTGCTGTTCTGATTTTACTCCAAGATAAGAACAACTGATAACAGCATGGCCTGGAACTGATAATTTAGAGACCTGGGTCTCTGTTTTGTTTAGAGCAGTAAGTCTTTCACCAGACCTAGGCCCAGCTGTAGTGTCTGGTATATGTGCTATCTGAACAATCAAGAACCATGGCTTCTACCTGATTGTTTACGTAGGTTTCTTGGTTACCTGATTTTATGCATAGTGGGAAAAAAGTGACACACTAGAAGTATACTTTTTCCCATTTTTGAAATTGATTTTTATTGAACTCTACATTAGCCCTTTAATAACCACCTAAAAATGTAGTATAACACACTAACCTTTTTTTCTAGAATTTCTTGATGATTTAAGCCTTTTGTTAACTAACTTTCTCTTTAAGGAGTTCACTGGACTTTCCATTCCCGTGTGTGTGTGTGTGTGTGTGTGTGTGTGTGTGTGTGTGTGTGTGTG